AATAAAAAAAAATAAAATAAAAAAGCCGTGTTAAATTTTGCTACATTAAGGTTATCTTAACGTCTGTTAACGTTGTCTCTTCTGTAACGTTAACGCGAGCGGTTACTCTGACGCTGACTAATAACCGGCGGCGGTTTATAACCGGCGGTTGAAGCCTTAGTGTCACGCTCAAAAACGGGCACCGACTATGATCTGAAGCCACGATGTTGGGCTCTCATGGATGCCCCAGCTATGGACGGACGGACGGGCACGCATTTCTCCCCCCCCCTCCCTCCTCCATACCCGTACCCGCATCTCTTGTCATCTCTACAGTCAGCAGCCATTACGCCGCATTCCAGCTAATAGACAAAGCCACCACACAGAAGCTAACGGCAGATGACTCACCAGCTAACCGACTCAACCGGAGCACACCGGCGGTAAAAACAAGCGGCGGCACAAGCTGCTTTTGCTGCCATTGTTTCACTGATATACTCAATTTGTAGGCGCCATGACAGCTCGTTTAAAAAAAAAAAAAAAAAGGGGGGGGCTAACCGCGCTAGCTACAGCTAACCAGCGTTACCATTGAATCCAAGCTGCGAGCTGCTCTCAACGCTAGCATCGTTAGCTAGCATGCTAACTAGCGGCTCCTGTGTTGCTAAAATGGAAGCTCGGCCTGAACAAGTGTACTTTTACAAGGAGGGGGGAAAAAAAAACCAAACAAACACACTGACAATAACATGAAAGATGCTCTGTGGTTACCTGTTGAGTCTCCTCTCGGGCGGTTAAAGGGCAATAATGTCCGTATTCATGCTGTAAAGAGAGAAGGATTTCATTCAAGCCCAGTCAAAAAAAAAAAAAAACAGCTTGCGGGAAACTCAAACTCTCCGATCGACCAGCGCGAAAAATACTCACTTCCGATTGGTCGGGATCAGCGCGAGGCCCCAACCGGTCTGTTCAAATAGAAAAAACCCAACCGTAGGAAGTAGCTGACCCCGCTGGCTCCAGTCTTTTGACATCGTTTCACCACTTTTCTTTCGCTTAGATCCCCTTTTTTTTTTGGTATTAGTTAGTGCTTTTAGTCACTTTATATGTATGTGTTTGTTAGCTCACGTTTAACGTTTGTTTTTTGTGGGTTTGTGTCGCCGTTAGAGTGAGGTTTTCCTCCTTTATTTCACATTGTTGTTACTTCTCCGTATTTTAAGTTCACACTGTAAAATAAAAAAATGCGTTGTGATTAGTGGTGTAGTGCAGGGTACACGGGTTATACCCTCTTGTTTTTTATTGGCAATTGAATAGACCCAGTTGTTAATCCCCTCTGGTGTGCATCCTTGAGCATTGACAGTATATATATATATATATATATATATATAGTCTTTGAGCTCGTTTTTTTTTTTTGCCCTAGGATGGTGAAGGCATGAGAAAATGCAAAAGTACATATAGGAAAGAAATAAAAAACCTAATTTTGTTTGTTAATTTTGTCAATTTAAATAAATTTTTGTAAAGTCTATTCAAGCTTTTCCACAGACATATTTAACTTTTACCGGCCTGTTAGCTGGAGCAGTACATTATATATCAAATGGCCTGTTTATATAATATAGATGGAAATTTAAAAATAGCTATTTCTCACTCTAGTTTGACCTAATCAATTAATAATGTTTTTGATAACATGGATTTGTTGGTAAACTCACACACATATATTACTAAATCTTTGAAGTAGAGCTCTATAACCCATAGACAACAAGGTGGAACAAGATGCATGATAAAATATAACATATAGAATAATGATGGCTGGGATCGAATTTGAAACAGTTTTTAAAGAAGGTTTAATCATATTAATGACCTGGGGCTTGTCATTGAGGGTGTTTTTCTTTCTCCTAGGATGGTGAAGGCATGAAAAACCAATTTTAATGAGTGGATGGAGAAATGAATGATGAGTACTTCACTTTATTTTATGTAGTTGTGTCACGCTGTGGGCCAGTATTGATCTTTCTGTGGCTAATCAATTAATCTCATAATGATCCTGAAGAAAATGTAAAATGTGAAAACCACTACTGGTCCATTTTAGGTGAACTAAATATATAAGAGTAGTCCTACATGTCACTGTTTATAACACAGGTAGCATCCTTTAAATAATTATGAGTATTTACCTATTTCTCATAATTAGTGGTACAAAAATAACTCCCCAATAAAAGCTTGGTAGACCGATCTTTGGGGACAGTATATAAGTCATTACAGTCTTTAACTATAACTATATTTTAAAATATGCAGTCTATAACTATAAACCCACTCTAAACCAAGTCAGTTCAGTCTCTTTAGGATGATTTAATATAAGTTGCCTGAACTTACTGTTGCTGTTTTATATGCACAATACAACTGGTAATAGTTTTTGTACTGTATTTCTTAAGGCTTACAGTCCTCTGAAGAATATTGTGGCATCCACCCTGAGTCTAATTAACCAGAGGCCTACTATTAATTTAAGTCAAAGCCCTATAATTAGATTATTCATCATAAATATCAGCATCAGCATTTAATCCATAGTAAATTCAATGCATTTAACCAAACAGTGGTTATAAATAAAGCTCAGTTGTTCTCTTATAAGCAGAAAAGCTAACACAACTACATTAATTATTATCACGTGTCCTTTGAATGCTCTATCAATGTAACAAACACGTGGTCAGTGAAACTTAAAGCTTTATGGTGTTTCTTCCTAAAAGCAACAGCCTGGTTATGGTACAGGCCCGGAGAATCCTTGTTCCTTTATATATGCTGTTAATGCTTGCTCCACATATTGTTGTACAGTTCATTCAAGCATAATGCTGCAGTACCAACATGAAGCTGAAGGGTGAAACTTTACACAGTAAAACATCCTGGGAAAAGTGAGCCTTTCAAAATAAAAGAGCCACTATTCTTGATGGAACATGACAATTCATGACGATCGATAGATAGATAGATAGATAATAGGATAGATGATAATAGATAGATAGATAGATAGATATGATAGATTTTGCAAACTCTGTAATGTTACATATCAATCACATCTGTATATAAAAAAAACTATATATTGTTTATACAACTTGTATTCTAATTTTATTTTCTTATTTAATGTGTATTTTTCTTATCTGCTGTGTTATATCTGGAGCTGCTGTAGCGAGTGAATTCCCCCAGGAATTATTTTATCTTATCTTATAACAATTATGTTGTTAGCTTCAATGAATACACTGGTTTAATCCATGACCTGTAGGCATAAGAGCAGCATTTTCCCAACTAACGTAAACGAGGTCAAGTCAAACCCCCATTCTCGATTACATCCATGCATATAAGCAGAAACCACACGGAAAACCTCCAGTAAAAACAAACAACAACAAAAGGGGGGGGGTTAGTTTGCTTCTAGCTTGCAGTCTGTTGCAAAGTGGTGTGGAGAAGGTAGGCGGCAGCAGCGTCCACTGCATGCTGTGAAAGCCCGATGACTGAGAGGCTCTGCCGCTTTACCACCGGTGACGGTTTATAATAAAACTGTATAATACATAAGAGCAGCATTTTCATAAGAGTTTCAGTAAACATATGCTCAGGCTTTGCAGCCATGGTTGAAATTAAGGGTTGAGGTTCAACAAAGCTGAAGAAAACTGTTTGGGGTTAAGTGGAAAAGGGGAAACAAATCAATGGATAAACAGACTTCAACACAATGCTGACATGCTGTCAGTTAGACAATAATTGTTTTTCAAACTAGAAGTCACAATTAGGAATAACAAAAACAAAAACAGGCATATTTTTTATTTTATTTTATTTATTCAGAAAGTTTTCCAGCAATGCTTTCTTGGCCCCACTCAAACAGTTATGCATTCACATCTGAAAGCTGCCTGGTGTAACCACAGTCCTCTTTGTTGGCTGCTGAACAGTTAAGCAGTTGGGCTTCAGCACCTTCCTCAGTGGCAGTAATGAGGAAGAGGCACTGCTCTTTCACTTTCATCACCCACAGTATCCTGATGATTTGGGGATCACACAGGCCTGCTTCTCCAACTTTTAGGCCACGACTGAAGACAAGTGTGAGAAAATGCAAAAGTACAGTAGGAAAGAAATAAAAACCTCTTCTTGTTTGTTCACAGTGGTTGATTTAGTTTACTTTGATACTATACGATTGTTAATTTTGCTATTGTAAAGTCTATTCAAGCTTTGCCCAAGACACATTTATACAGTAGACTTTACCTGGATTGGAAGTTAATTTACTTGAATATTTATAGTCATCCTTAGGATATGCAATCTCATATGGAAACAAGAATAGCTATGCGTCACTGTAGTTTGACCTAATCAATTAATAATATTTTTGTTGAACTCACAGCATCAATGAAAAGCACTACACTGTGCTTGGATTTTTGTATTTATACCTCTTAAACAAATGACTGGGATTGATTTAAACTCAAGTTGAAACATTTTTTAAGAGGGGTCAGTCATATGAATGACCTGGTGCTTGTGATTTAGTTTAAAGGTTTGTGTAAAGGGAAATAGAGAGAAGGGCATTGCAAACTAACTTTAAGACTATAAATGTGGCATAGCTTCAAACTGCATAGATAAGATAGATAAAATAAAGTAAAAGATAAAAATATAAAATAATATATATATATATACATATATATGATATAAAATATGATATATGATATAAAATACTTATGCATACTTGTCCCTGAAAAAAATAAACATTTATTAAATAGATAAATTAATAAATAAGTATAAGCTCGATATATTCATGGGAGGAAGTGGTTGTATGCAGACTTTGACCTCCTTTTCCTCATTCCACTCCTCGGCCACTCCGCTCC